ACATTAATTATTGAAAAAATTAGTGATGTTACTTCTAACTGAAATAAAACTTACTATAATGTTGATTTTTTAATATTCATTTACATTCTTAGCAATAAATAAGGATTTATACAAAACTAGTGGTTATTGGTTCAGTTATGCTCTTTACTGTACATAAAAAATAATATATTAGATATTAAAAATTAAGAAACTTTAATTTTTAAAATTTATGTGCAATCATATTTAAAACAGTATTTATGAAATTAAATTCAGAAAATAATAATCTTTCAAAATAAATAAATTTTATTAAAAAAATGCGTTGGATTTACGTTCGCTACACCACTGTCAGTATTTTTGGAATTTAATAAAACAAAATTAGAAGAAGACATCTTCATAAAAAAAGAAAACAAACATTTTACCTGATTATGAAGATGATGCGAATGAGGAGAATGTAGGTGCGACATCAATTGAGTAGGCAACAATACTCCCCCTCCATTACCAGCAACAATGCTACTTAGTTGAGATTGTTGTTGCGGTTGTTGCTGTGCTTGCGGTTGCTGTTGTGCTTGCTGTTGTTGATCTTGAGGTTGTTGCTGTAGTTGTACTTGCTGTTGTGGTTGCTGCTGCTGTTGCTGTACCTATATGAAGTTTATGAAGTAATGAAAGCTTCTATGTTTGTTTTTTTATACATCATCGATGTAATAATTATTCTAATCATATTGAAAATTTAGTGTTTAAGAATGTTAACTAAAAAAAAAAGAAAAACTACAAACCTGTACTTGATCTAATTGCAATTGAAGTTGTTGATTTAGCTGTTGTAATTGGTGCACTTGCTGAACTTGATACGTATGATGATGCTGTTGTTGCTGATATTGCTGCTGGAGGCCAGCAATCAACGTCGCCGATTGTTGTTGCATTTTCCCATCTGCCATACTAGATGTAGCTTTACGAATATTTTTGCCTTCTTTCTTCGATACAGGTTTAGCTTTCGGGCGATCACTAATTGCAGTGTTCTGGCTAACATCACTACTAGCAGTAATAGGTTGCGAAATTGCCATAACCGTTGGCGGCGTTGAAATACTAGGTGGGCTCGGTGTAGTCGTTGAAGATGTATTAGAAGTCACCACAGTTACTGTTGATGTTGAAGGTATTGTAGCAGCAAGAGATAATGGAGGAGAAGTAGGAAATTTATTTGCTGTAGAGAAAGATTCTTTTTTCATTGCACTGGCCATGCCAACTCTCTTTCCCTCGAGAAATATATTGTAAAGAGTCATTGCATCAGGCGTTGCTGGATGCGTTAATGAACTTCCTGACAAACCAGTTGTATTGCATACTAAACCTTAGAAAAAATTGAATATATCTAATATTTATTCAATTTAAAAAAAAAAATGAAATATTTTAATAAATAGTAATAAAAAAAATTAATACCATGAGATGCAGTTGCTGGTTGAGCTGGTAAGTCAATATTGAGCATACTAGGTATGAAAGTTTCGGGGTCATTACATTCTTGCTGTTGAGCTTGTGGTTGCTGAGTAGATCGTGCGTTGGCATTTCTTGAACCATTAAATAACTGGCCTGTTCCCTGGATTTGCAGTTCCTTTTCTACCCTCTAATTAAAACAGAAAAAATATTTTGTTACATAGTATCACGATACCAAATATATGGTCACCGAGAGACTTCAGAATGTGCTTAATCCTGGAACTTTGGTCATCCGAGATAAAATTTTTAAACGGTTCAGTAATTTTGGGTATTTAGGATCGATTATAAACCAGACGAACGAAATTAACGAAGAACTTAAGAAAATAATTAATTTAGGCAATGCATGCTTTTATTCGATCAATAAATTACTCAGCTCGCGGTTGCTGTCTAGGCGCTTAAAAATCAGGACATACAGGACAATCATCCTACCGGTAGTCCTTTATGGTAATGAAAAGTGGTTGCTTACTTTACGGGACGAAAAGAAATTTAGGGTTTTCGAAAATAAAGTTCTTCGTAAAATTTTCGATGCAAAATGTGATGAGGAAACGAGTGAACGGAGAAAACTCTGATTTATGATCAAGGTTCCAATATTTTGCAAATTCTGAATTCTATCGGTGATATTTGGTTTTTTCCACGTTTATTTGAAGCCCCAATTCTTTTTTGTCTATTAGGGTTTTCGCATTATTAACTAGTCTCTTTATTATCTTCTAACAAGTCAATATCGTCCACATATGTTACCAGTTGTCTTGTTCTATTCAGCTGCAGACCATCTTTATATTTCTGCAGTTCTTTAATAACAAATTCCAGTATTAATTTAAACAAAAGTGGTGACAGTTCGTTCCCCTGTTTTAACCAGCTATGAATGCTAAAAGTTTCCAACATTTTGTTACCTATTTTTATTATACCCTTGGTTCCTTTTTAAGCGAACTTGAACCAGGTTATCCAGTTTTTTTGTATCCCATGTCGTATTAGAATTTCAAACATTTTCTCCAATTTTATTAAAACATATGCTTTTTGGAAATCAATATAAAATTGATATACCAATTGATCAAATTCTCATTTTATCTCCAATATTTGCCAAATAGTAAAGATTTGGTCTGTAGCTTCTATTCTTATAACAAATTTTAATGGCAAACAGAACAATTAAAAATTTACTTGCAACTCTTCAAGGATGTGTTGCTTATGTAGAATTTGTTCTTGTCGAATGTTCTTTCTGCTTTCTGAGATATTCAATCCAGAGGTTGGTGCTGGTGCAGGACTCAAACTGATGTTTGATGCAGACACACCACTGAACCCTCCGCTACCTTTATCCAGAATATTGGTATCATCCTTTGTTGGAACTATTGTTTCTGTTGCAGGTTGAGAACGAACTTGCTGTGCTTCAGCAGAAGTAAGACTTGTATCTGGTATTATAGTTGCAGATCGATTTTTTCTTAATAATGACTTTTGTGTATTATGTTTTGGTTGAAGATTTTGAATTTGTGATTGTTCTCCAGCTTGCTGCTGTTGCTGTTGTTCCTGTAATGTAGGTGCAATAGGAGTAGAGCTGCGTACTTGCTGTTGTAATTGCTGTTGTTGCTGCGGTTGTTGCAGTTGATGTTGTTGTTGTTGTTGCAGTTGGTGTTGTTGTTGAAGTTGCTGTTGTTGAAGTTGTTGCTGCTGTAGTTGTTGCTGTTGCAGTTGGTGTTGCTGTTGAAGTTGCTGTTGCTGTAGTTGTTGTTGCTGCAACTGCTGCTGTTGTGGTTGTTGTTGCTGTGATTGTTGCTGCTGCGGTTGTTGTAACTGCTGCGGTTGTTGTAACTGCTGCTGCTGCGGTTGCTGTTGTTGCTGTTGCTGCTGTGGTTGCTGTTGTTGCTGTTGTTGGGGAACTAACATAGGGGCAGGAGCAGCATTATGAGGTGCAGTCATCATAATACTATGAGGATAATCTAATAAAAGTTGGACAACACTAGTGTGTCCACCTTTCGCAGCTTCTATCAGCATGGTAGAATTATCCTTAAAAAATAAGTAAAAATATCATTAATAATACAAGTTAAAACTTTGATAAAAAAATAAAGTATACCTTAAGTCTGTGAAATGGATCTGCAGATTGTGCTAAAAGAAGTTCAACAACGGGTAAATGACCTCCAGCACAGGCTAATGAAAGAGGAGTATGATCATTGTTTGTTGTTTGCCGATTGACATCAGCATGTTTGGAAATAAGAAACTGAGCAGTACATAAATGACCTGCTCTACAAGCTTTCATTAGAGGAGTTCTACCTCCTTCAGATTCATGTTCCTAGATAAATAGATAAAAATAGATGTATTGATAATAAGGCATGTTAAATTGTATAAACTTTTGATTTTTATTATTGTTACACGTACTAGGTCAGCGCCAAATTGTAATAAGAAATCAGCGACATCAGTATGACCATTTTCACAAGCATATGTTAATGCTGTATCTCCTGTTTGTGTTTGAGCATGAACATCGGCAGCAGATTCAAGTAAGTATCGAACAAGATCTAAATGTCCTTCTTGTGCAGCTTCCATTAAAGGAGTAGATGCACCCAATTCAACATCAGCTCCAGCTTTAATTAAAAAGTCGGCTACCTCCAAGAAACCCCCGCAACATGCTAAAGTGAGTGCTGTTTCTTGAGTTTCTTCTGTCTGAGCGTTGATGTTTGCACCTGTTTGTAAATTTTAAATTTAATTTATATTGTTGTAAAACAATGCTATTATAATTATCTAATTTATTACTCATAACCAAGACATACCCTGACTTAAAAGTAATGCAACCATTTCTTCATGACCTTCTCGCGCAGCTTCCATTAAAGGTGTATAACCCTCATCATTAACTTCTTCAATATTCGCTCCTCTTTCAATAAGTAGCATCGCAAGATCTACATGGCCTCCACAAGCTGCCAAAGTTAATGGTGATTCAAAACTATCTGTTGGCATATTTACTTGAGCTCCGGAATCTAAAAGTAAACGTGCTACTTCTACATGGCCATCCATAGATGCTTCCATAAGGGCAGTGTGCATTTCATCAGTTTTATGCTCCTAAAAACATCGTTATATATATGTGCAGTTAAGATTAGATTAAATAGAGCATTTATATAAACAATAAATCAACAACAATATCATAAGTAGTATTATAAATAACTTATAAAATATATAAAAAAAGTGAAATTAAGTATATTCATAAAATCTTGTTAAAAGAAGTAGAAACAAATTTTTACCTGATCAGCTCCAGCTTCCAATAAGAAACGCACCATTTCGAGATGTCCTTTATAACAAGCCAATGTTAAAGCAGATTCTTTGAATTCATTAGAATGAGTATTAATGCCAGCGCCATGTTCCAGTAGAATTTTGGCAACTGGAACATGCCCGGCACTGGCTGCTTCCATTAAAGGTGTATGGCCATTTTCGTTATGATCTTCAACATTGGCGCCTGCTTCTAATAATACCCGTACAACTTCCTCATGACCACCAGCACATCCATACATAAGAGGTGTGTTACCTTCAAACATAATTAAGAGTCCATATATAATATAGAAAATAATTTTCTTCACTGTTTCTAATACAAAAAGAAATTAACATTCATAAGAAATATATTTTACTACTATGTAAATAATTTAATAATCGAATTATAAAATAAATTATATCATTCGTATAGATTAAAAATTGAAATTATTTTATAAAGTCAATGCTTCTTGCACCAATTGCTTGCTTTTACATTCCACAGATATAATAATAAAATGACTGAAATCTTAACATACTTATTGTTATTCTATAACACAATTGTTTATTATATATTATATTATTCTACCTGAAGTTGATTGAGCATTAACATCAGCTCCATGTGCTATGAGTAAGCTTACAATATCCACATGGCCTGCACTGGCAGCCTCCATAAGAGGGGTACAATCCCCTTTAATTCCACGATCTTCTACGTTTGCATTCATTGCCAATAATACCTGCATAAAACAAATAATAATATATACATATTATATGCAATACAATTTTGTTAATTATTAATTATTTATAATACTAGTAAAGTTGTGTAAAAATGATAAAAATATTCACATAACATTTAGCATTCCAAGTCTAATATCTCACAAAATTTTAACTAATATCGCATTAAGATTATTATTATTATTATTATTATATAACAATTGATATTTCTCAAAATTTAAAACCAATGTTTTTATTTTTATCCTAGTTTACACTGATTTCTTATATTATTTTTCTTATTATATTACTATTTTATAACTATTTTATTAATATTAGTCTTGTGTCAATTTTTATTTTTATATATAATACTTAATATAATTGTTCAAAAATTAACATGAAATAAAATAATTGTTAATTATAAAAATATAAACTCATAATTATATGTTAGACGCGTGTACCGTAAAATATTTATCCACACGTATAACATTTGGGTACACCATGCATACTTAAAATTGCATATACATGATTAATAATTTATACATACAAAATTCATAATATTTGAATAAACAACACAAATATATTTATTCTCTAATGTAAGTCAATCTGAAACATAGTACAAAACAAGAAAACAAAAGGACAAACCTGAGCAAGCTCGTAGTAACCAGCTGAACAAGCAAGAGAGAGTAAACTCTCTCCTTCTTCTGTTGTTTCGTGAACACTGCGACCTTCTGTCAGCAATTTTCTTACTGTACCAACGTCGCCGTCAGTGCAGGCCTCCACAAGCGAACGCTTCTCGTTTTGGGCACGTGGATTATCACTACGCATACGCGTTAATGCTGCTGCTGCTTCGTCCAATGCGCAAGAAACACTAGACGTTAAACGACGGAGCACCTCGTGATCTGCCAAGTGCTTCCCATCGCCTGACGACAATTTGCCTATACCTGCTGCCTCCAGAAGAGCTTCCAAACGCGCTTGAGTTACAGGATCTACTGACCTTTCGGGGTCCTCTGGGTTCAATAGAAACTTTGATGATTCTAGATGATTATCTTCATCCAACTCAACTTGATCAATTGCAAAACACTCCACCTATAATTATTACAGAAACAATACCGTTAAAAGATAATTTATATTCATACAAAGCAACTTCGACTTTGAATACGTAATAATTTAAAATTAATAAGAGTATCAATGTAAATAAATGTTTTTTCTCTAAATAAGAAAATTCTTTGCATTTGTTAACCATTTGGTGTTGAAAAAAAAAATAAATAATTCTTTACTAAAAAACATGAATTATCAAGTCAAAAAATAATATAATCTTCGATTGAAACTAAAAAATAAATGAAAAATTATATATGTAAATTTTTATAAAATAATATCAAGCATAATTATAAAGTAAAATAATATGCATTGATTGCAAAGAAAAGAATTGTTAAGAACAGAGATTACTATAAATACAAAATACAAGCATAATATATAAAGACCGATAACTATGCAAAAAAGATAACCTTAATTCTGAATATAATAACAGATATAACTTGATTATAGATACAACAGAAACACCTCTGTACGTAAAAGTAGATTAACTTCAGTGAGAGTAATAATAAAGGGTAATAAATACAAACTTTATATTACTTGCTAATGCTTAGAAATGACTTATAATAAAGGTAAAATATGTAAGTTTAATTAAAAATATCTAAATATCGATGAAATGTAGCCAAATAAAATATCAAGAAATAAAGTGTTAAATGAACACATTTATATTTCTACATGATAAATAAATTACAACAAAACCTATAAAAAATACACAGTAATCATATTTGATTTTTTATCAGAGTTAAGAACATAACCGAATAATGAAAATAAATTGAGAAATACGATTTATTGTAAAATTACTCAAATAGAGTGGTATATCATCAAGCTTTGACACGATTAGAAAACGTGACGTTCCAAAATAATTGAGGTTATTTCCGCCTGTAGCAGCAACTATCAACGCTTTTTATATACAATCGTATAACATAACTATAATCTTTAATAAAACGAAATGTAATATCAGAATAATGCAATGATATAAATTATTTATAGTATAGATGAGAAATATATAGCATTAAGGCCACGTCAAATTAACGGAGAGGAATGTAAATGAAGGGGTTTAAAACGCGTACTTCGTCCATCTTAACTTCATCAATATAATAAAGTAACATTCGTAGTTTAAATGATAATCGGTTAGGAATAATACTTCAAAATGAGGAAGGAATTCGCGAGTGAAAGTATGAGAATAACCTGGCAACTAAACGGATATAAGAATAATATGTGCAGCCATTCCATAAAGTAGACACAAAGCTAGTAATTCCTCGATTAATTACTATTTTATGCGTACCTATGCTAGAACTTAGTATTTTGCTCAGTTCCAAAATAAATAGATTTAGGCGTATTAATTCGTTCCCAATCGTTGTTGTCCACTCTGTTTTAATAACGAACACGATCTTAAAATCGCGCAAGAGAGGCAAGAGAACGATAGAGCGCTCGAGAGGAGAAGGAGGAAAAGGAGATGGAGGGGGAAAGAGGAGGAGACAGGAAGAAGACTGGATAGAAAGGTGATCAGAGGGGAAGAAGAACAGGAAAGAAAGAAAGAAGACGAAATTCTGTAAAGGTTTATCGTAGATTATAGAATATGGTGGTCTTGCTCTTTAGGATTTCCTCGCACACGCGTTCAACAACAARAAGGAAAGCGACCGAGCGAGCGAGGAATATAGCAACGAGCAGACAAGCCTTCATGAACACGCACCAAACGTGAAAAATACAAACGAAATCCGCTGGGTGGCGCCCAACATACTACACGGTAATATAGCAGTGATACTACTTGCTTATATATATACATATCACTATATATTACGTATAGAGCGCGTGCGCGCACGCGTACACAGCGCGAGCGCGCGCGTCCCTATCCAGTTAAAGAGCAAGTTCCAATCGCGAGCATGTGTCAGACTACACACACATACGCACACCGAATGCGCGCACGCGCATGGTTATGCAGCATGCCACTAAGAGTTCAAGCGGCGTGTGTATGTACACACAAGAGTGTGTATATACACACTCTTGCAGCATGTGGATATATAAGAGAGAGAGACACGAGATGGCATACGAATTTTAATCATCAGAATGGCACCAATAATATAACTACAAGAATAGTTTATCGATAGTGATGATGCACAACTTTTCATATTATTTTTTAATATTTTTATAGCCTTTCTTTGTCTTCAAGAGAGTAACGTATTTAAATGCTGAAGGACAAGTTTCAGAGATGCAGGAAAAGGGGTAAAGGTAGACGGTTATAATGGAGGATAAGAAGAGAGAAGGAAAGTATCAAAGGATTGTCTTCGCGTTTTACAAGAACAGAGAAGACTTGCAGTTGTCTCTTGTGCACTGAGTCTTCACTAACGTTCGTCGCTACCTATTAACGTATACATTCAGATTATATAACTTCTCTATGCGAATTTCTTTTATCATTTATTCGTTCGCTTACTTATTCGCTTGTTCTTTCGCTCTTCCTTTCCTTCGTTCTCTCTCTCTCTCACTCACTCACTCACTCACTCACTCACTCACTCACTCACTCACTCACTCACTCATTCACTCTCTCTCTCTCTTTCTCCCCACCCCCAGCTTTTTTTCTATCGTTTCGCTCATCTATCCTCCTCTATCATTTACTTCCTCTTTCCTTTCACCCCCGATCAAAGGTAGCAAGGTAAGATAAATGGCATGTAATTCCGCATTTGTTGAAGAAAGAATACTCTACGCATTCGATGCTAAATACAAAGTCAAACGAGAATGATCCCAATGGACTCTTAGTAAGCAGCATCGACGATAAGAAAATTTCTATGGAATTAAATGCCCAGAATTCCGAATATTAAATGCAATCGCTTTTAAATAAGTTTTTAACCACAATATATTAGGCTTTGTACGCTATATATATATATCTATATATATATATATATATATATATATACATAAGTACATATTATACATATATATATTATATATATATATATATATATAATTGGATCGAAATGAGATCGTACCTAATAGAAATAAGTACATGCGTACTACACTACGTGAAGGGAGATCTCGCAAAAACGCGAAAAAAACGTTCCTGGCAAAATAATTCTTAATAAATTCTTGTAAGCGGAACATTTTATCAGCAATGCAAGAAGACAAATATAAGCTTTGTTCCTAGAAAAACGATGACATATTTTTGGTTAACAAAGTAGAAATGCACGCGCGCGACTCGTCGCGATTGACGTGTCCCATTAGAGGCGCTCGTCGAAAGTCTAGCGATCACGAACGGATGACTCGATGTAGGGAAGGGCTCTCTCTCTTTCTTTTAATTCTATCTCTATCTCTCTTACTCTTTCTAGCACACTCATACACATCCATGTTTCTTGTTTCTCAACTCGTCTCATAAAGATATTATTCCTTAATATAAATTGGTCTTGCGTTTACCTCTGAAACGCTGTCTTCTTCGCTCTCCGACGAGTCTGTCATAAAGCGTGGCTGCAATTCTGAAAAGGTCTCGGTTTCCGATTTGGTGGGACTAGAGTTCGAGGACTGGGGAGTCGACGACGTCTTCCCAGTATCGTGGTGAACGCTCGCTGATTTTTCGTGATTTTGGCTATCCGAGGTTGTTCCTTGTGCTACATTCTGCATCTTTACCTTCCAGATGAATCATATGACACTGAGTTATCGCTTCCGTGTCGCGAAACACACACGGAACACTTGCTTTTTGACGATAATCTCAAGCACAGTCGCCGTCATTCACGTAAGCTAACACCCGCCATTTCCACTATGGCCGACAGCAAGAGTCCCGGATGCCTTTTCAACCGTTCGTGCGATTTGGTATGATACCACGGGTCACAGTGCCTTTCTCTTGGCGCGAAATTTTGAATTTGCTTTCATGACTGTTCCTCTTTTTCTATTTCATTTTTTTTTTTCGTATACATTTAATTTCATATTCATGATATATGAATTCTAATAACTTTATATAAATAATCGTTAGACGTATGCATTTATTAATATTATTTAGAATTCGATTAAAAAATTGTACACAATCATTATATGTCATATATGTCATTAAGCTGCAAATATTTAGCGAATGACCTAATGATCATTTTTCTTCTCAAATTATTTATTATTTTTAAGAAGTATTTATTTTCGAAAAATATATAGTATAATTAGTTACTGAGATATATTCTTTTTTACGAAATATAAATTATAAAAAAGAAAATTATATTTTATATATATGTATAATTACAGTCGCAATAATTACTAATTATATAACGTTAAATTCACTATGTATTTTACGTCAATCTAAGTTATCTGAAATTATGATTTATTTATTCGTATCATTCATGCGTTTTATCTCTTGTTTTAGATTTTTTTCGAGATATACGAAATAATATGTAGAAAAAATAATTCTCGTAGTAGAATATTCTAGTTTAAAAAGTCAAGTAGCATCTCTTGTCCGCCATCTTGTTTTCTTGGCCAATTATATTTCAATGATACCGTATGTCTAAACATTGTAAAAATGAATTTACTTTTAATTCGCTATTCTTACTAATTTTATTAAATAAAAGTCAACGTTAAAGTATATTTATACAATACAATTTGCTAATGTTAATTATAAAATATCGATAATGCAAAATGTTCAACTGAATCATGGCGTTAAATATTATTTGTACTTTATCAAATGAAATTTCATATTTTGCGCATACAGTATATATTGCTTTAAATAAATAATTAGTAATTTATATAGCAGTGATAAGTTATTGAATTAAATTATTCTTATAGAATTATAATAAGGTAATATTTTGTTAATTATTAGTTAAATTTAAGAATTATAAATACTTTGACACAAAATATATATATTTTAAAAATGCAATAATTAAATGAAAATAATTGTTATATAATTTAATTAATCTTTATATGTATTTATGATAAGAAAATTATTATGCAATTAATATATATTTAAAATAAAATGGCTATTCATTAGAAAGAGATACAGTCTTTCAGAATAAAAGAGAAAAAACTTAAAACCCTATTGCTCTAAAGGAAATGAAAAATGTGATTTAAAATTTTTAAATACAGTACAATAGATTTTTACAAATCAACATTCAAAAGAATAAAAATGTTATTCTCCAAAACTATAATCAACGTTTAAGTAATACAATATATAAATAAAATTTAATCGTATTTTGGCTTGATATTATTTTTGAGTAAAGATCTTACTTATTAAAAAATATACTTTGTATAATTTTAGTTTTACTGAATTGTCTTTTCAATGATATTGATTGATTTAAATTATAAGATTATAAATTCTTTATTATTTATATCATTAACACCACTTTGTTGCATTTATAAACACAAACGTTACTAATCTACAACATAAACTATGTGATACTAAACTTATAGTATATAACATAAAATTATGTAATATATATATATATATATATCATTAACATTGAATTTTTACAATTGAATTTCATATTTAGATGTATCTGAAATATTATAAATTATGTTTTCAGGTATAGAAAAATAAATACAGCATAAAGAACATTTTAATAATTTGATTATATTTTATTTAAAGTATATCAAATTAAGTAAAAATTTATTTCAGATTAATTATTCTGATTTGCATAATGAAAGCAGATCTTTTACAAAAACACATAAGTAATTTATTTTCTACAATAACTATAAAATATTTCATTAGGTATTTATATATAATGTCTTAATATGGTTTACTTTACAGTAAATTAATTAAGCGATAATAATCTAGCATTGTTAAAGGAATCAAAAATAAAAAGCTTTGCAGAAGTAAAATATAAGATGATAAATGTCAAATATTTAAAAGTACTTTTAGCAGTATATCGTACTGCCTTAACGCTATTGCTTTTTAATGCATTGTACTTGTTTTTCTTATGTATTATTTTAATGTTTTTTGTCTCTTAGATACTAAATGTGTGAGAAAGAAGACTATTTTACATTAATTTTTCTAATGATTCTTAAATATGGATTTGAGTAAATTACACATTAAACTGTTTTTGCTTATATTTAACAAGACTTAACATACAATTGATCTTAGATATATTTGCATCCAATGATTTTTATTTTAAATCACCCTCATTACTTTTTTTTATTGTTTATCTTATTTTACACACAACATTGATTATTATTAAGACTTAAACTACAAGTTTCGTCTTTTGAATAGAGATACTTGTAAATGATCAAACATCAAAGCACATAAATCAAAATGATTTTCTTTTTATTTTGTTACATTATCGATAAAGGTGAAGACAAGACTCGAGTATACTTGTTTTCACTTTTATTCGTACAATAATTTTTGCTACACAATTTTTTTTTGTTTTCGTGCTAATTAAATGCAAATAAGAATTAGTAATAATTTGTTAGGGGGCTCTGTTGGGTGATGGAATAAATCGTGTAGCTGCTATATTATAGAAAAATGTTTAATTTAAAAGATTAAGCTTACACGTTAGTAATACCAAAAAACAAAACTTACAACGTTTATATAATAGAGAACATTTTTTTTCTTTTAACATTTTTTAGATTAAATAACAAATTATAAAAAAATCCAGAACTGCTTCTACTATTTTCGTCGCATTAGCTGAATAATCGTACAAATCTATTTTTCTTTACTCTCTTTTTTTCGAATATTTATATACACATATGTATGTATGTCACTGAGATACAAATTATACGATTTGCATACATTATTTCATGTTTCAACTAATACGACGAGATCCATAATTTGTTACATATATTTAAAATAATAAATATTTACATGACGCATCTATACAAAAGTCAGTACTCTTGAAAAAAAGTTGGTATGATTGTCAAATCTTCGTAAATGAACACTCCTCTCTTTCTGAATCGATTGAATATGTTTATAGAATGAACTTTTAATATTTTTAAACGAACTAAATAGTTTAAAAATAATAGTTATAAGTATAAGTATAAGTATAATATATAATATATAAGTGCAATATAATGAAATTATATCAAATTTTCCATATTAAGTAATACTATCTGAATGAATGAAAGATACAAATTAGATGGAATATGTAAAGGATAGATTATTAATTGTTTTCGTTAAATGTTAATAGATTAAACTAACATCCCTTTAATTATATACCATTTAAAGTTATCAATAGCAGAAAGATAATGTTCCAAAAGATTTGTGTAACTTTGGGCACAATAATAAAAACCAACTTTTTGTCTTGTGTAATTAGATGTATATAAGTCATATGTACGGTGTGTTTAGTGTAGTAGCGCAAGGGGGCTTTACACTCTCAGATTATAATATCCTAAATAAATAAAAGGAGAGTAAAAATAAAACAAAGAATGGAGATAAGAGAAAAAAAGGATCCTTTCATAAAATAATACCTAATATGTTTCTATGTGTTACTTCACAAAAGAATGATAAATAAAGCAATTTATACAAAGCAGAAGATAATCTTTTCGTCTAATCTTATAAAACTGACTCTCTTACTGTAAGGAACCAAAATATATATGTATATATATATATATAAAGGTAGCATATTAAGAGTCCTTTGATTCTTCCCTGTGTTGGAATTTTTATATATGTGTGGCAATAAACGTCCAAAAGAGGATACGTAGCTTTAAAACTTAGAAGACAAAGTTCAATTCTTTTAGCCACGTTTATAAATGTATTACTAGATGCCTTTAATTAGTGCAAGATTCTAGTAACTAAACGGACGTGTGTGTTTCTTTATATGCGTATTTTATCGTTTACATGTCAAATTCTGTAAAGCAATGCCCGATCTCGCGTGAAGGGGAGGGAGGGTGGTGAGATGTAGGACATTGCTATGAGTACACATTAACGTTTTATCTGTATTCGTAATCTGCTTGTTGAGCATATAATTATTCTGTACAATTTCTTTTCATTCTTTTAATTATTATTATTTTTTTCAACTATAATAATAACTTTGACAAATCCCTCGTTTTTTATCTTTTCTTTTTTTTGACGCATATGCATATAAAATGCCTGAGTTATTCTAACACATTCGGTTCGAACTTTACAATGCATCATATTGCAATAATAATCGTACATGACGACGCCAACGTCAAATGGTTTGTCGAAAGTTATTGCATCTGTTGTTTCTTTTTTTTATTTATTATATCCTGTAAATTACTAATCTAACCTTTTTTTCATTCATATAAAAATAACACGCAATGCGAAGCTATCCAACATTGCTTTGTACATTCGCCCGTGCTCCAATGAAACAAAGTCGAACTTAATAAGCTTAAATTATTAATTGCCAAATTCATTAAGACCATCGTTTTAATCGTGCTGATGTACGTATACAAAAAAAATAAAAAAATAAAAAAAGATAAAAAAAAATGAAAAACAATTATATTGACAATTTAAAACTGGGGTATAGAAAGGAGCTTTCTTTTTTGTCGCCAACGTCACACTTGAAGAACGTGACTTTCTAAGAAACCTTTCATTATCATTTTCTTCTCGAAAAAGAAAATAATAACTTTAAGACATAAGACTCTAAATCTACGAAATCTGTATGATACGAAATACATACTCTCATACATATATACATCATATATATATATATATATATATATATATATATATATATATGTAATGAGTGGATTGAAAAGTTTGCAGTTTAACATAGAAACAATTTGCTTCTCAGCCAAAAATTCATTTTTATTTAAAAAAAATTAGGTTTCTTATTATTGATTCTCTAAACTTTTTAACCCACTCTTGTATATAAATATATACCATTAATTTTCAAACGGAGCAATAAATTTTAACATAAACACACGTTACAATCGAAAAATGAATATCTCTGTTATTTGCAAAATCGCAAAGAAAGATAAAGAAGAAGAAGAAGAAGAAGAAGAAGT